AATCTCGCGAGGTGGGATCGTGGATGTGCACTGCTGAGGAGTCCCATAATAGGACGAAACGAGGAAACAGATTAAACACAATACTATAGCGTAAAAGTGATATTTTGAAATTAGTATATTTTTTCCAATCAATCTTACCATAGATTGGGAACTATTTCATATGAACTTGATGCATTACAGTATTGTAATAACTATAATCTTTTTTTAGAAAAGATAATTCTTCTAACTTTATTGAATTTCACTAAATTCATATATTAATGATCAGCACTTCTAACTATGGGATAGATTATTATTTAAAACAGAAATTGTGAAGTCTTATTCCATTTAAACTCACTGTCGTGTAATTTTATCAAGGTTAGACGTAGGGTATTACGGAATGATGGTAAATCAGTTGATGAGGTTGTGAACGTCCATCGACTGAGATGGTTGGGTCATGTGTTACGTATGCGTGAACACCGATTACCATGACAAGCATTGCTGTCTAGTGCTAGGGAAGGGGTGGCCAAATCAGCCAAAACGTGGAATCAGTCCTTGAAGTCACTAACTTCTAGTCTGAGCCATGTTGGTAGATGCAGATTACTTGGTTGGGGTCCGCATGACGATCGTAATCAATCGTTGGAGACTCTGAGTGACATGGCTCAGAATCGATCAAAATGGTGTAGGCGTTTACATTCTCTGTCTTCCATTAAACGATGAGATTAAAATCGATTCACATATTTCTTTCTAAGTACTAATTCTTTCTTCCTGTACTGTATTCTTATATGTAATCTTTCTTTTATATATTACACCGCTGAGTTAACTGCTTCTATGGATCCGGTGTTCGTTTTGCTGTGCTAATGAGGTGTAGCAACTTGAACCGATGCATATATGTGCCTGGTCCCTACGTTGTAGCTAAGCGACTTATCAAAGTCTTTTAGCTTCAAACAAGTACAACAGTACCTTCTCATTAATTGCTGAATTGTCATCAATAATACTCTTGATTTCAATATGAATGTTTACTAACTAAAGATATGAAGGTATTAAAGTTTATCTGTTCAACTATATATGTGTATGTGTATATTTATAAAAAGTAGTTTTATTCAGCTAGTTAATTAGATCTATTTTAGAAGTACTTCCATTTTAGTTACTTTTATTTGAAATATTGATCAAATCGAGTCAAATGACGATCTATACACACATAGATCTATTACAAACAATTAGTCAACTTGATAAATTGAAATAAGATAATGAAAGTTCAAATTCATCAGAGTAATATATTTCTGAATGTTATATCTCGATGAGAATAATGAATGATAACTTTTGGGATCCATTTATGGACCAGTACTATGCGTATATTTTCATCGTATAATTGTTAAATAACTAAACTATTCATATTCATGTCCTCTCTTATTATGAGTCTTATTTTCACCTATGAACTATTATTATACGATTTACCATTCTTGAATTATGCCTTGTCTATCAATTACTATCTCCCACATTTACAAACACTTTGGCTAATTCTTGTACAAATGTTGTTTTCTATTTTATGGTAGGATGTGGTCTGTCTGGTTGGTATATAAACCTAGTGTGTTTGAAATAAATGATTCATATCGCTGAGGCTGAGATTGGTGTTCTGGACTTAACTCGCTGGTCTAAGCTAGGCGGGAAGCAAGACCGATAAATACTTCAGACTGCTCGCACGGGTTTTCTGCGTCATTGGTCCGGTCACCACTTTATTTTCTAAAAGAGATTCATCATTTCAACTTCATAATATTAAATATTTTCAAAGGTAGTTGATTGTTTTCAACTATCGTTAGAGAATCGTTGTTTCTTTTACTAATTAAATAAAATTTATGTTTTCATTTTCAGTACAAACAACATACAACACTAATTGTATCTTTTCTTTATTATTATTAGCTTTTTCTTGAAACAATTCTCAGTTAATTCAGAAATCAGTTTTCTAAAGTGTCCAAGAATATTGATGCCCCCAAATGCTGTCGTATGGTCATAAGTGAAGAGAGTTAACTCTCCCTCTCGAAATGCCCTCAGATTGGCCACGCATATACATCCACTGCCAGGGTAATACTACTGACTGCCTTCTCATGGAGGCGGTGTTCTTTACAAAATTGAGGACGAAAACCGAATGTCCGGCTTCATAACCGAGATGGTGGATATGGAGGATCCACCTAGGAGTGTTGGAAATCCCTGATTTCAAACCAATGGTGCACATGAGCTCCAGGATCCTGAGGGAACAAATGGCGTATGAACCTATTGTTGGTCAATGGTTACCATGGGACTGCATCTCCTGACGTTGCTTCACTGTCTTGTGAATTAAACCTCCCGGGTAAAGGCTCGAGGTGTGGCCCTCTACGAAAAATCACCTGCTTCGGTTTGGGCACCCAAGCAGTATCATAGCCCACACACAAATCAAGTGACTTGTATGGTGCATATGTATTCGGGGCCAATATTTATCTGTTCAAATAGTAATCAATACATCAATCGATATGCTGAAATATGATCCTCTTAAAAAGGATCTTCCTGTCTTTTGATTTATTTTTGGTGTAAAATTATGCTTGCTTAATGAACTGTATCGAAAAAGAATAAAAACTGAAATAAAAATCAATTTAGGAAATAATTCTGTTTTTTTTTAAAAAATTTATATTATGTACTGTATTATTTCGTGTATACCGGTCATTAGTTTTTATTAAGACTATAATTTCTTTACCATTTATTAATTACTTAGAGACAACATAAATTATACATATTGAATGATTTAAATAATGTTTATCATCAGAAGGGGTTTTGTGGAGGTTTTTAGAAATTTCAATAGTTGAAATCATGAATCAATTGAAGCTAGACCACCATGGAAAACCTGGAAGCACTGGATGGCCGCTTCATCCTTGTATGGAACTCTTCCTTGGCAATAACCATCCACGATCTCACCCCGCCCGATTCGAATCCATGACCTATCAGTCTCGCCCGCGAGCGCCTAACCATTAGACCAATGAGTCGGCTGGCATCCAACGTTGTTAATGTTCAACTTCAACCAATCCACGAAATTGCACTACTGTACACCATTGTCTTCAGTGAGTTGATATCTCACAACAGACCTGATTGAACTCCACTGGTCACAGCTTCTCACTAGAACTCCAGGAAATGCCTCTTGAAGTCAGTTACTGGTGAGCAGATGATTATTATCAGAAAGGGTTTTGAAGTTAGACATTAAGTCCATTGGATGTCAGCCGACTCAGTGGTCTAATGGTTAAGCGCTCGCGCGCAAGACTGGTAGATCCTGGGTTCGAATCTCGTGAGGCGGGATCGTGGATGGGGAGTCCCGTACTAGGACGAAATGACCGTCCAGTACTCTTAGGTTTTCCAAGGTGGTCTAGCTTCAAATGACTCATGATTTCAACTATTGTTTATCAGTTAATCATTGGTGGTTTATACTGTTTTGGAAAATACCCAACATGATACATAATTGATAATATAACCTCATTATTATTGATGTGTCAACTTTTTGTTTTTACATTTATGTTAAATGTTGTATAGTAACTGAAATAAATTCATTAGTTTATGTTTTCAGTATAGGGGTTGGGGAGATTATTAAGTTATTGATTGAGATCATGAACCGACTGGTGTTAGATCACCATGGAAAACCTGGAATCACTGAACATGCCATTTCGCCCCATTGTGGGGCTCTTCCTTGACAGTACACATCTACGATCCTGTCTCGCGAGATTCGAACCCAGGACCTTCAGTTTAGCGAGTGAACGCTTAACCTAATAGACCACTGGGCCGGCCTGCATCCAACGGTGTTCATGTTTAATCTCAACTAATCTACAAAAATTTATCGACTATTTTCCATTGTACTAAGGTAGATACCTGTCTCTACTCGACATGGTAAATGTAATCAAATTGAATCAATGGAAAAGTGTATCAAGAGAGTTGAATTTGAATATTTAGGATCGCCATCTTAGGAAGTATCATCAGACTACTGATTTCCTATTTAGTTCATAATAATTTATTATTGAAAATTTAATATTGATTGAGCGACAAGTCGTCGTCAAAGTCATATTTGCCTAGTCCTTAAATCCTATCTATTTCTACTGATCGAATCAGGATGTAACCAATTGTCTGAGTGATTTGACATCTCGTAAACTATGTAAGTATCTATGTGAAGGTTGGACTTGATAGTTTCGAATAATATCAGAAGGGGTTTTGTGCATATTATAGTAATTTTAATGGTTGACATCATGAGTCAATTGGAGCTAGACCACCATGGAAAATCTGAAGGCACTGAACGGTCGTTTATTATCTCGTGTACTGTGTTGGAAATTTAGGTAACTAGATTTAGTTGACAGAAAAACCCAGATCTAGCATTCGCGCTAGCTGACACTCGTGCGCAAGACCTACTAGCAACATTCAGGTGACTGAATCACTGTGAATTTTGTTGAAGAAAGTAAGAAATCTCTGAAACTAATAAATGATAAGAACATTTACATATGAAAATTAGACAAATGTTTATATACTGACATCAATATTGTTATTACTTTTGATCACATTACCAATTTAACTTGTCAAAATTGATATATCACCTCCCAAGAAATTACAGGTAATCACTGATAATATCGAAAGTTTCCTACCTTCTACTTCCTATCGCTTGACATTAATGAAATTCAAAAATAGGCATTTAGTATGGTTAAGTATGAAAAAAAAGTGGATTAAATTTGATTTCAATGAAGATAAATCAAATTATAGAGGATCTTTAATCTAATAACAACATAATTAAGACTAATTTTTCCAAATAGAAAAGATCGATCAAAATTCAGTCTTGACTAGTAAAGACTGCAAACATTTTTGATTAATGTAATATACACCATAAAAGTTAAACAAACTAATAAGGCTTTGAAGTTTAAGGTTATAGGTACTAAACTCAAGTCTCATTGTGGATAGCAACATCAAGATGCAGGTATTTCAAGATAGCAAAATAAGTTAATGTATTTTATCTATAGAAAACATACCTCTTGATTCATGAAATTGTAATGCTGTTGCAGCATCTGCACCAAGAGAAAAATAATTATTGAAAACTTTCAAGGGTAATGTATCAGAAATTGGTCTATTTCTTGTGGAATCATCATCTTCATAGTCGGTTAGTTGTTGAGTTGTTTGAAAATCTGTTTGTACTTCACTATTCACTTGCCATCTGTAGTATAGAAAATACGATATCGGAATGATTAAATAAATATATCTAGCTGAAGTATAAATGAAGTGATATGATACTTAGAAATGTGGCAAAAAATGTATACACATCGAATTTGTGTAGGTCTCAAAAAATACAAAAGGAAAAGCAAGATTATCCGATACAACAAAACATGCATCAATCGAATCACAGTTGATGGACAAGATTTGGAGGATGTATAAACCGTTACATATCAGGACAGCATCATTGATGAACACGGTGGATCTGATGTAGTTGTGAAGGCGTGGATCGGTAAAGCAAGAGCAACATATCGACAATTGAAGAATATCTCGAACTCAAAACAACTGTCTGTCAACCAACACCAAGATCAGGATTTTCAATACAAATGTCAAGACAGTACTACTACGAAAGCCATCATCCACAAGATACAAGTGTTTATTAACAGTTAGCTATGCGAAATACTTTGGATCCGTTAGCCAGACAATATCCGCAACAACCTAGTGTAGGAGAGAACAAACAAGATTCCAGTGGAGGAAGAAATCAGGAAGCGCTAGAAGTGGATAGGACCAAAGAAATGGAGAGAGACATAAGAATGAACAAGGATAGTATAGAATTAGAAAGGAAGGTCCAGGATAGAGTGTGTTGGAGAATGCTGATCGTCAGCCTATGCTCGATTGGGGGTAACAGGCGTAAGGAAATCAAATTTGTATGAAATGTATTAAAGATTATTCCCATTGTTGTAAACAATTTGTAAGTTATTTTATGTTTAAATAATATCTGTAAAACGATTAATGTAAACTAACAAATGAGAACTATTTATAATCATGTGTGTCGAATATACATAGTAGATAGTAATTCAACTAATCAGTAACAATATAAAATCTTCTAGCGATACTATAATTTGTGAATGAAATAATGAAATAAAAGATAGTAAGCCTTGAATTTTCGCTCGGTATTCATTTATCCATTCATATGAATAACTATGCTCTAAAGTAAACGTTACACTATGAATTAACCTTTTAAATAGGTCTCCAGTGCTGCCCAGTTTTTTGTAGTTAGTTGGGTAAGATCAATCAGTGATGTAAACCGTGCAGTGATTTCAGGTCTTCAATAGTGGTCTAACATTGATCCATTCATGATCTTAATCAAAACTCAATAATCTTCAATCCCCTATACTGATAATTATAATGTGCTCACTAGTGACTAGCTTCAAGATGGATTTCCTGGAGTTCTAGTGATAAACCGTGACCAGTTGACTTCAACCGTGCCTGTTGTGAGGTACTTGTTCACCAAAAACAATGGAGATCGATTGCGCAATATCGCTGATTGGTTGAAGTTAGGCATTAACACTGTCGGATACCGGTTCAGAGGTCTAAAGGTTAAGCTCTCTCAAATGCAAAACCATTAGAATCACTCTGAAGACATTCAGTGGTATAATTTTAGGGTTCAGTTCTCAGTTCAAACAAGCATGAGTTCTCAATAATATCAATAGATTATCATTTTTCTGTAACACAGATTTATTGAAGTTTAAATTGTACTATTTGACATTAACCCTATGTCTCAAAAGGCTAAATGTCAGCAAACAAAATACTGATTTTGAGTCCCCATCTGTACATCAGCATTGAGATTCAAATAAACCTATGTAGAATGTCTGAAATAGGATGAAATATAAATTCAAAATTCTACTGATTACTATTTCTTATTTCTTAATCAGATGTGCATTATTTTCACCAAATATTTAGATAAACTATTTATACAACTTTTTGATTGAGATCATGAACCGATTGATATTAGACCACTATTAAAAACCTGGAAGTACTGGACGACCGTTTCGTCTTATTGTGGGACTGCTCAGTAGTGCCCATCCATGATCCCGCATAGCAGGATTCAAACCCGGGGCCTTCCGTCTTGCACGCGAACGCTTAACCTACTGGACCACTGAGTGAGCCGGCCGGCATCCTACGGTGTTAATGTCTGACCCCAACCAATCCACGAAGTTGCGCGACCTTCTTTCATTGTACTGAGGTAGATACCTGTCTCTACCCGACACGGACTAGCTCCACTGGTCACGGCTTCTCACTAGAACTCCGTTAATTTCCTCACGAAGTTGGTCACTAATGAGCACATGGTAATTATCAGTCTAGAAGTTGTGGAGATTGTTTAGTTTTTGATTGAGATCCAGTAGGTTAAGCGTTCGCGCGCGAGACTGAGGGCCCCGGGTTCGAATCCCGCGAGGCGGGATCGTGGATGCGCACTGCTGAGGAGTCCTGAAATAGGACTAAATGGTCGTCCAGTACTTTCAGGTTTTCAATAGTGGTCTAATATCATTCGGTTCATGATCTCAATCAATAACTTAACAATCTCCACAACCCCTTAACTGATATTTATACAATTCATTGATTAACTGTAAAAAGTCAAATTTGTCATAAGGTGTAACTTTAAAAAATTATTTATTTATCATCGATTTTAATGAAAACCTCAACTTAGTTGTATTGTAGTACTAACGTATAGACGTATATTCATGGAGTTGTTTCCAAAGTGACTGATATTTACAAAATTGTATGTAACTTGTAACGATGACTAATTTATTATGTTTTTTTTAGTTTTTGAATAAGACATAACTTTTGTAACTATGCCTAGTGATATCAGTTTTGAAATTTTGATTTCAGTTTCTGATTATCATTCAGTAAGTTAAACATTGATATATCAATCATATTATTACAAGTTTAAATTCTTTTATATTTGATTTCAATACAGTAACAAGATAGTACGAGTGATCTATTAAAGTGTAATCACATTAAAAAATTTTTGAATCAATTGAAGCTAGACCAGTATGGAAAACCTGGAAACACTGGACGGCTGTTTCATTCTATTGTGAAACTCCTCATCAGTGCGCATTCACGATCCCGCCCCACAAGATTCGAACCCAAGACCAACGCTTAATCTCTAGACTACTGAGCTGGTCGGCCGGTCGGCATCCAACGGTGGTAATGTCTAACCTCAACCAATCAAGGAAATGAAGCGACACATTCACTATCTTATTCAATAAGTTACTATCTCACAACAGACCCGATTGAGCTCTACTGGTCACTGTTTCTCACTAGAACTCCAGGAAATAATTCTTGGAGACAGTCACTAGTGAGCATACGATAATAATTTCGAGAAGGGGTTTTGTTGAGTTTTTAGTAATTTCATAGTTGAATTCATGGATCAATAGAAGCTAGACCACCATGGAAAACCTAGAAACACTGGATGGTCGTTTTATTCTATTATGCGACTCCTCATCAGTGCACATCCACGATCCCACCACGCAAAATTCGAACCCAAGACCTATCAGTCTTGCGCGTGAACGTTTAACCTTTAGATCACTAAGAAATGTTTATACACAATAAGTAATTGATTAACTAATCTTAAGTACATTTTCATTGATACAAACCTGATTGTCAATTAATGTAAATTGATCATATTAAAATGAATTTATTCAAAGAACATTTAATTTTATCCCTAGTGTATATTAAATTATTTTTATCTACTGACTTTATATTCTTACATTCATCACGTTATTCACCGTTTCTAGTATAGAAAGAAAAAAATCTAGTTCTCCGCAGTTATAATAAACATCATTCATAATCCCTATACAGTATTTATGAGGCCCAATAGAATATGAGAAAATTATATAATATACAAATTGTAATCAAATTCAAGTTATAACACAAGTCATATAATATTGAAGTTAGGTAGATGGAACAAATTGATAAGAAACTCAGATCTATTAAGCAAAAATGAGTAGTGGCTAGCAGTGGAATGCAGGACGCACGTTTCGTCTTCGTCAGCTAGATGTACTTGCATTTCAAAAAGTTGATGTTCACTCTGCATTCCTGCAATTCCAAATAACAATTGGAAGACATAACTAAAACAACACAAAGTGAATTCAGATGTGTTAGTTCGATGTTAGTTGGCACTGGTCAATAACCTATAGATTTAACAATGAGGTAGTAAATTAATTTGATTTAATTACAGGCTGAAAAAATTACCGGATATCAACGGATCTATTAGGGTGAAACAAATTGTCATTATAACTAATTATAATAGTATTATTATTTACTAGCTTGGATAATTTTCTGGTTATCATTTCTATTTTAGTGTATACTACTTACGCTGATACAATATAAATAGTATGTAGCACCAATTGAAATAGGAATGCCTATCAACAGAAGATTGAATCGAAGAGAACAAAAATGGAAATGAAGAGTAATTAGAATAACAATAAAATTGATAGAATCATAATAAATACAGTCAGCAACTGAAGGGAGATGTGTAAATAACGTATTTGATGTATAATTTTCATATTTAATGGAGACATAATATAAATTTAAAAAAAAATTGGTTTTACCCCCTAAGTTCTCGTCCACTGTACTATGATTAATAATAATAATAATAATAATAATAATAATAATAATAATAATAATAATAATAATAATAATAATAATAATAATAGGAATGGTTACAAGTTTATCCAGTAATTATTATTATTAAATTACGATAATTATATTACTGACAATGATATGATCAGAAATGAAAAGAGAACGGAACTAGTTAAATGATGCATTAGACTTATATAAAATATAAATTAATATAATCAGTTGTAAAATAATATGAGATTAAGCATATTACTTACTTACTTACTTACTTACTTACTTACTTACTTACTTACTTACTTACTTACTTACTTACTTACTTACTTACTTACTTACTTACTTACTTACTTACTTACTTACTTACTTACTTACTTACTTACTTACTTACTTACTTACTTACTTACTTACTTACTTACTTACTTACTTACTTACTTACTTACTTACTTACTTACTTACTTACTTACTTACTTACTTACTTACTTACTTACTTACTTACTTACTTACTTACTTACTTACTTACTTACTTACTTACTTACTTACTTACTTACTTACTTACTTACTTACTTACTTACTTACTTACTTACT